AGATGATCTCGGGTTCTTTAACCGACCTGTCTGATGTGGTAAAATCTAAAGGAACACTTATTCCAACTAATATTGCTCAGTTGCGTCATTTTGATAGGCAAGCTCAACCACCACGTCAAGGTGGCAGTTACGGTCGGGAACACATATCTAGACTATGATCATGTTTCAGGGCGAGTAAGAGTTTGTTTATCTTACTGAACTGAGAAAAACCACTTAGAACCCAACTGAACAAAGAAAATGTCAAATATATATTTCAGGAAAATGTACAAAAATACTAATCGATTTTGAAAATGATGTTCAATCTGACTTTCATCTATTTTTTTGTTCAGTTTTTTTTCTCTCTCTCTGTTTTCACTTTCTTCTGCCTTAAACAAACTGAACTTATTCATTTGTAGATACATATGCTCTTGTTATCATATTCATAGTCTATTTATTATTGTTCATATCAACTTTGATTTTAGTCCAAACATTATCATCTTCAGTTGGTTCGCAAAAAATTTATTTGAAGCCTTTACCTAATGAAAATGATATGTTAAATTCTAGAATATTGAATGATGATAAGAAACGATTACCAAAAGTAGGTGATCTTTTTTTTTCATTCTTTACTGATTTGTTTGTTTGTTTTTTCATTTTTATCTGTATAAGAAAACATATCTTTATACATACTGAGAAATGACCAAGAATTAGTTGAATGTATTTGTTTATTAAGAGTTCTTCCATGTTAAAATTTCTTTGATATCATTAGTTCTAACGAAGTCCTACATACTTCGTAGTTGTGAAAAGGTGATGTGACATTGTTTCTCTTAGATCTTGAAAGTGTATAACCTGATTTTTAGTGTATGTATAAGGTAATTAGTAGTAGTATATTGTAGTACCATCTTTTATAAAAACAAGTTCTAATTACAGTATGAAGAACATAATAGAATGAACTTCTTACACAATCATTATGAATTTGATTTAATATTCAAAGCCTAAACAAGGTGACCAGTCACGATGATTCAGTTTTTCACTAGTTCTATATAATTTGGGTTACATATTTTTATCAACTACGTCTGTTACTCCTGGTGGAGGAGCATAAACCACCCACCAGCATTCTCCATTAAACTATGTCCTGGACAATTCTTTCCAGTCGCTATTCATTCTTTTCATGCCTGCTCCCAATTCCAGACACAATGTGTTCCTTGGTCTACCTCTTTTCCTTTTCCCTTCAGGATTCCAAGTTAACGGTCGCCTCATGATGCAGTTTGATGATTTCCTCAATGTATTGTCCTATCCACTTCTAACGTCTTTTCCTAATTTCCTCTTCAGCTGGATGCTGGTTTGTGTTCTCTCGTAATAGGCTGTTGCTGATGGTATCAAGTCATCGAATATTGAATATCTTGTGTAGACACTTGTTTATAAATTCTTGTACTATTTTGATGATGGTTGTAGTAGTTCTTTAAGTTTCAACTCCGTACAATAGAACTGTGTTGACGTTCGTATTGAAGATTTTGAATTTGATGTTTGTTGACAGTTGTTTTGAGTCCCATATGTTCTTGAACTGTAAGAATGCCTCCTTTGCTTTTATTTTTATCATAGTAAACGTTTAATAATAAGTAATTTTTGATTGAGCCCTTGTTTATTCACTCATTTGTTAATGGTATGGTAATGTTTTTACATGAATTATGTCTAAAGATAATCATTTATTATTATTTATTTCAACACATAGATAATGGTATAAAGAGGCACTAAATACATATGCGCCACACAAATCTCATTCGATATGTGTGAGGGCTGTGATACTGCCCGGGTGCCCAAACCGAAGCAGGTGGTTTTCTTAGGTAGCCACACCCCGAGCCTTCGACCTGAAGGTCTGATCCACAAGGCAGTGGAGCATCGTAAGGAGATGCAGTCCCATGGAAGCCGGTGACCAACAATTGGTTCATTCGCCATTTGTTCCCGCAGGATACTGGAGCCCATGTGCACCATTGGTTTGGAATCCGGTTAAAGCGCCGGACATTCGCTTTTCGTCCTCTCATTTTCGTAAACAACACCCCCGCCACGAGAAGGCAGTGAGTAGGACTTCCCTGGCAGAGGCTATGTACGCGTGACCGTGTGAGAGTATTTCGAGAGGGAGAGTGGACTCTCCCCACTCTCGGCCGTACCAGGGCATTTGGGGGAAAAGATAATCAGCAATTAATTTAACAGAATTAAGATATTTAGTTGACACTTATTACAATGATAAATGGTCGATATCTATTACTTGACCCTATAAACTACACAATGCAAGATTGAGCATGGAGACGATCAATAAGAATTCATTTGATACCAAGACTAAATCAAAAGGATATTTGAGTATACTGATTAACAGTCAGATTTGTATGCATTAACTGAGTAGTGCTTGACATTAATTAATCAATCAATAATTTATTATATAATCACATATTTACATGATCATAAAACTAGATATCCCTTCTTAAGATGTGATCTACATGTTCAAGATGCTTGAAAAATAAACAAATCAATTTTGTATCTCATTTACACTGTAATCAATTAACCCCTTCCTCATTATATCAAATACAAAGATACTGAGTCACTAAAAAAAGAAAACATTGTCATATTAAATGATCCATTAGTTCAACACATCAGAACATTATTACATAACATCACAATAAATGTAAAGATTAATGTTACTAGTCAATACTGTTATATGATAGGAGAAGAAATATACATCAGCACTTGAAACCTATTTCATATACTTCAATTTAGGCAGTGTTGAGTAACAATGATGAATAGTGGCTAGCAGTGGAATCCAGAACGCGCGTTTCGTCCTATTTGGGACTCGTCAGCCGGATGTACCTGCATCTCAGAGTTGATGTTCACTCTGGGACTCATACCCAGTACCATTCGCTTCAAACGCCATCACGTTATCCACTCAGCTACTGAGTCCTGATAACCACTTGCTTGTGCAATGAGGTGAATTTCAATTCACTTGGTATTGTTTGGCTTGTATCTTCCCATCGAGGTTTAAGACTGCAATTGATCAGTCTGAATAACTTCATTAGGTTTTGCTCTTTTGAAATAGTTTAATTCACTAAGAACATGTCATAAATGAAATGAAATCAGATGTTTCATATTTTCTAATAATTTAATCATCAAATATAAATGAAAAAAATATTGAGGCGTTATGACCATTCATCTTGGACAACTACAGTGAAATTGAATATTTGAATCTTACTTTACCTAATTTACCATAAAGGCAACTCGAAAGAATCACATGTTTTCAAGTTAAAGATGTATAACTCAAGAGTGAATATATGAACATTGTATTCGGTTATCAGCACAAGGATTATGATTCAAATTACCGTGATAATGAGTTGAAGTACATTAGTATTTAACCGGGTTGGTGGAAATGGAGAGTACACCTAGGGGAGTTGGAATACCCTCATTCTAAACGAATGGTATACATGGGCTCCAATATCATGAAGGAACAAATGGCGTATAAACCAATCGTTGGTCACTGGCTACCATGGGATTGCATCTCCTTACGATACTCCACTACCTTGTGGATCAGACCTTCAGGTCGAAGGCTCTGGGTGTGGCCCCCTAAGCAAACCACCTACTTCGGTTTGGGAACCCGGGCAGTGTCACAGCCCTCACACACATCAGATGAGATTTGTGTGGCGCATATGTATTTGGTGCCTCCTTGTACCAATATCTGTGTGTTGAAATAAATAAAATAATAAAGTATTTAAAAGCTGGTTATGATCGCGGGATTTCGAAATTATTTTGCATCTAATGAGTTAAAAGCCCTTATAAATCAAATATCATTTCGTAAAAGAGGCAATCAAATCTCTTATAGTTTGGTCATTGTAAGAAGTTTATTGAGTTATCCGTTTTCCGATCCTAATATCTTAGGAATATCACTGCATAGTTAGCTGCATTATTCTACATGTGAATTTATTCATACTAAAGATCTCTCTCTTTGAATCTTTTTCTCAACCATGAATACTTTATCACAAAATTTTTAGTATTAAATTCTCTGAAAAGTTACGGAGGCGAACTTATTAGGGAACTACCATTGTCACTGTATTGATACTACGATGTAGTACGTAAAAGTTGTTACCCATTTCAGCATTCTTAATTCATCAGGTCGCTTATTATTATTATTATTATTATTATTATTATTATTATTATTATTATTATTATTATCATTATTATTATTATTATTATTATTATTATTATTATTATTATTATTATTATTATTATTATTATTATTTACTAAACCACTAATAAAATGAATTGTGTTTGAGTTTACCATAAACAAAGTTAGTTGAAAAAAGAAATGGTTAATTTACACTTCCAGCAAAAGCTTTATTAAAAGGAAATTGTTTTTATCAATATAGGGTTGTAGAGATTGTTAAGTTTTTGATTGAGATCATGAACTGATTGATGTGAGGTCATCATTGAAAACCTGGAAGCACTGGACAGCCGTTTCATCCTATTGTGGAACTCCTAAGCAGTGCGCATTCATGTACGGGATCGTGTTATTCTTTAAGACCGTAAAACTGCTAGAATTATTGATTATTTAAATGAGGAATTCGCACACTTTATGATTCACTTCAACTATGTGAAATACTGATCAATATACATGATAGTTAGTGACTAGCTAATTATGTAATCTAAACCGCACGTTACACTTTATTTAATAGCATCAAAATAAAATTAAAAGCTTATTTCTATTCACGTTTCATTTTTACACTGATTATTACAAATACCATAACGTTATCCGTCAAACTATCAAGTTACAATAAATAAACAGTTTTGGTTGTGGTTTGTTTTTGGTCTTAACCGTATGATACATTGGTGTAATCTCGATGGTAGCAGTTACTTTGACACGGTAGTCGCGTTCGTTTATTATGGTGACGTAGTCAAGCTATGTTGGCTGGAACACACATTCTTGTAGGTGCTACTATGACAGTTAGGTCAGTTATAAAATGTTAATACCAAAAGCAACGAACAGAAGGTTCGGGAACGAAGTCGTACTGTCGACTGCTCAGGAGTATGATGACAATGAGGTGTTCTCCTCAGGAAACTGACATCTACACTTATGCTGCCTTCTCACACAGGAACTGGAACGATTGAAAAAGTCAGCCCTAAAAATAGTATACCATCATACCGCACCAATTTTCGTCACTGGATACGAGGCCTATAAAGTATGGGCTTACCACATCAAAAACTACTTTCTAAAAGGCCATGTGTGACCGGCCTCAACCAGTTGCCCCTTGGATACTGCCGTTACAGTCACAAGTCATCATGAACACTCCTAACCCAATTTTGTCTCTAGATACTTCCATGATGTAAGCGATCGAACGAGTAACAACAACTCTAATACCTCAAACATCTCTAAAGATCGTTCACACTAATACAATCTAGTTCTTGTAAGTGTAATTATCTCTTCTATTTCAATTTTATTCCATTAATAGTGTCATGAATTGTTATTTTCTATCTTAAATACTACCTATCATCTATATGATTGATAAGATTTAAGTATTTCTCCACAAGGTTGTTTGCGTTCTGCACCAAATAAAGTAAGTTATAAAAAAATAACAACTAAGGTTTGTCTTGTATGCATCGATTTTTCACAATGTTTCTAATCATTTGAATTGTAATGCATGTATTTCGCTTACATTGCTAATGTGTTACACAAGTAATAAATATTTTTTTTTAAAAAAAGAGACTATTTTAAACAATTTTCCAGTAAATTCTATGTTAATCATTCCTTTAATCTTAATGATATGGTCCAGTGATCGACTATGTTAATATATGGGATTCTTTTCAAACACACAAACAACCTGTCATATAAAAGAAATACAAAGTAAGTAATATTGAAGTAAAACACAGGATTTTTGGTATGAATTGCAAATCGATTAGTGGTGATGTCGAACATGAATTTTTGTCAACTGAAATGATTAAAACATATGCCTGAACATCGACTAACACAACGCGCAATGCTGACTAGTATTGGAGAAACGGTTGGAAGAAAGTTAGTGGCGGCTGAACCGAAACGTCCTTGAAGTCACTAACTTGTGGTCTGAGCCATGTTGGTAGATGCAGACTACTTGATTGAGATCCGTGTGAATATCATAATCAATGGTTGGAAACTTTGTGTGACATGACATAGGTGTATACACTCGTTGCCTTCCCTTAAACATGAGATTAAAATAACTTTATACCTTTCTTTCTACGAACTAATTCTTTCTCCCTGTATTATATGCTTATGTGCAATCTTTATTTTTATATATTACTACGATTGAAGTAACTACTTCTATGAATTTGATGTTGATGTTGTTGTACTAATGCGGTGTTGTGATTTCGACCGATACATATATGTACCTGATCCTACGTTGTAGCTGACTGACTGTTACACGCATCTATCCGACACCTGCAGTGATGCACAACCATGAATGACATAGGAATAGATTAGAAAATACTAAAATTAGGTTATATTATTTGGTACAATCTTCTTGATCGTGACTCATACAATACCTGTAAACAATGATTAGATACATTCGGTTGCATGATCTCCACAATCAGTCACAATAGCTCAGTTGTATTTATTCTCCATCTTTCGTTAAATTACATTTCAATTTAGTTTTTCTCCTTTCGTTCCCACTTTTTGTTCTTTGCATTTCCTTTCTTGGTGTACTAATGTAAACTGTATGTATATTTCAATCTTGAGTAATACTTCAATTTCTCACTGAATCCACTTTATATATTGACACTTGTTTGTGTTGTATTTAAGTAATTAAGTACTCAAATTAGTAGTGATAATCAACTTAGGTGACATAAGGATGTGTTACGTATATATTTATAGTTAATTTTGACTTACTTCAAGGTATGCTATCCTAACTAACATGGTAGTAAATTGGGATATTGTTTAAGAGCTGCTAATCTAATATAGATATTTTATTGTAAACTGTGTCACTTCAAACGAAGTTGACCGGGGTCTACCAGTTAATCGCTGTATATATATATTATACGTTTAGTGCGATAACATGCTAGAATGTGTCCATTGTTTACTCCTATAATCCCTTATATCATGATGTGTTCCACTAACGAAGAATTATCAGTATCCAACTTATAATTTAATAGAAAATGACAGCTTATAACATAATTTTCAGAGTTAACGTTCACATTAATACTTAAATCCTACATTATCCACTTTAAACAGTAGAACATTTTACAAGTCAATCTATTGACATATGGGTTGATTAATAAACAGATGTTTTAGCGTTGACCGTATTTAGAATTTAGCTTTAATTTGTATAATAATCGGTAATTAATACTGAATATTATACCAGTTAAATAGATGGGTAGTGGATGAAAGTATGATGTTTAAAATAATTGCATTGAATTCAAGTATGAGTGTTCTAGATAAGATAGAAAGCGTATACTGAATTCTCTGACTAAGAAATGCGTTCTCAATATAATCGCCTTGTGATAATGATACATCTGTTTGTCGGTATCAAAGATTCATTCTGAATATGAAGAACAGAAAAACATAAATTTTTAAAATGAATAATTAAAGAAGGTATTGTGTTTTCTCGTTCCCTTTTTTTAAGAAAGATAAGCTCCTGTTTTTTCTTGGTTCCTACAAATTGTATATTCTGTTAAATTAATTCAACTGTTCATCGAAGCGTGAATAGAATTCTCAGCATATATCGTCGTGGTCAGTGTATGACATGGTGTCGTGGTATGAAAGAAAGCTGCAAAGGACTGGCTTCTGTTGGTCCTTCACGACTCCCTGTCTGAGATCCGAGAGATGGTGCAACACAGTGGCTAGAGACGTTATCAAATATGGCTCAGAATAGAAGCCAGTGGCGATCCTGCTGTAACCTTTTACTTCATAAAAAGTGGTATCTTCCTTAACTGAAAGAATTCTTCCAGTTGTACCTTACCGTCTCCCCCATTATTATTATAATAACTATTACACTCCCTTACACTAATCTGGTCATTATTGTCCTTCTTCTTTTCTTTTAAGCTCCTTACCTTCCTTTTTTCTCTTCCCATTCACATTGTTTTGTATGGCGCATATATATTTGGTGCCTCCTTGTACCAATATTTATGTGTTCAAATAAAAATAAATTAACTCAACTTGTAATATCTGTTGAAATTTCTACAATTTTATTTCTGGTCTACAAATGCTCTGATACGGTTGAGGGTGGGGAGAGTCAGCTTTTCCTCTCAAAATGCTCTCACATGGCCACGAGTATACAGTCACTGACAAGGAAGTTCTACTCACTTCCTTTTCGTGGCAGGGGTGTCGTTTACCAAATTGAGTGGACGAAAAACGAATGTCCGGCGCTTTATCCGGGTTGCTGGAATCAGAGGATCAACTTAGGGGAGTTGGGAAACCCTGATTTCAGATTAATGGTGCACATAGACTCCAGTGTCTTGTAGAGCAAATAGAGTATGAACCTATTGCTGGTTACTGGTTACCATGGGACTATATCTATTTACGTTACTCCACTGCCTTGTGGATTAGACCTCTAGGTCAAAGGCTGGGGGATTGGCTCCCTAAGAAAACTACCTGCTTCGGTTTGGGCACCCGGACAGTATTCCAACCCTTACATAAACCAGTGATAACTACTACTGGCTTCATTGTTATTGTGTGGCACATATGTATTTGTTGCTTTCTTGTACTAATGTTCGTGTGTTCAAATAAATAACTCTCTAGTTTAATTCATCTATCAAATATTTTGTTATTGCCTATCAAAAGTCCTCCAAAACCATTCAGTATTTTAAGTTCAAAACTTAAGTCAATGAACTAAGTCCTACAATAATCATATCATGTTAAAGAGTGGATTCGCTAGAAGAATAAGCCGATTCTCTAAGGACGACCCACGAGTGAACTCGAGGAAGCTCGGAACGAGCCGAAGATATTCCATCTAATCATCTTTGTGAAAAACATTCCATAATCTCTACATGTTGCTTCCCTATTGGACAATTGCTAAAAACCCCTGTATGCGGATTGGATGACAATAATGATGATTTCGTTTTTACTATAAAAAAAACTATAAATACCTGATAGTTCTGTACCATATTTGATACTGTTTTGAACAGCATTCCTTTCACTTCTGTCTTCTCATTTGTGACTTGGAGGGTTCTAGTGTTTCAGTGCTCAAGTTATACGCGATATATTAAGAATCTATGCTCTAGATATAACAGATTCCATTTGTGTTAAGGAGTTTTGTAATAGGAGCTGAAAGAAATGATTTTCCGGTTCAACAATCGCGTTATATTTTCTCAGCATTTTGTATTATTCAAACATAAATAAATAGACGCACTGTTTCAAGTGTAATCGACTTGTAAATAATAAATTGCATGCTTATCTATGAAACTGTATGTTCACTTTTTGACGCCTTGAAACAATGCATGTTTTTTGTTTTTAAAACTACCATTGATTCTTATTCATCATTTACTGGATAGAATTACCAATGAGTTATAGACTCTCCAGTGTCTTTTAAAAATCATTTTGTTTATCAAATCATAACTTACCAGATACATATTTGTGTACTTAGCTTTGAAGTGCACTCAGTTTGTTGCATAATGGATGGTTTAAAATACTTTTCTCTTTCTTTCTCAAATATACTACACTAATACGATAAAGAAATTAGTCACGTTGTACCAGATCCAGAATAGAGAACCAGATTAACACTAGATGATACTTTATTCAATACAATTGCAAGCAGTCACACTCAGTGAGTTCGGAGTAGAAATCAATGAGAGAAAAAGAAATCACATATTTAACAGTTAGTAGGCTGAGGGTCTGTTTCTTCACACAGTAATTATTCACATTTTACTGTCACTACCATATATCATCTTGATAGCTAGTGGTGTTAATTGTAAGTAAGAGGAGTGGGATTCGGATCTGGAACCGAATGGTTGAAAGTCGGACATATCCGATAACATTTTTGCCAATAACCTAAGCTTAAAGCACCAAGCTTCAATGGTTATCATTCATCTTAATCATTATACATAACTACTCTTTTCAAAATACTTTCTACATACATTACTGTTATATGATATGATGTTACCATGGAAATCTTGTTTAATCCACTCTTGTATATCACGAATCATGATATAATAAGTACATACATTTATCATTTATTAATTTCTCTAGAAGATCATCTAATATTACTTAACTTCTCAATGTTATTTATCATATTCCAATGTTTTTAGGTGTAAATCCTAAGAAATTTGTGTTCAAATTCTGGCGTTATGAAAATGGTATTAAGTAGTATATCATTCACTTGTGAAGTGGTAACCTATTGGTTAAATCATTCATTAAATGTTGAAACATCACATTCCACCGATTTCGGTTTAAGCAACTAAATATAACATTCTCATAAGCAATTTATGAACCCCGAAACTTAACAAAGGAACTTGTACTAAGTAAATGATTCACAGTATAAGTGTTCAATTACATGGTGACGCACTAATTTATTTTCAACCTTCAGTTATGTGTTTTTTCTTTAATTTTCATACCACTTGATCATTAAAAGTATATACGTATATATCATGTTTTATCAAAAGAGATATTTTATAAAGGGAATACAATAGAATGAAATATTAATCGGTAAAATTCGATCAAGAAGAAGAATTAGAAGTTCATCTCATTATTCAATACTTATTAATCAGTCAATGAAAACATCTCAGTTCTACATTAGTAGGTACTCTCTCACTACGAAGCTGCTTAATGAGCGTTTGAATTCCACACAGAGTATTAATTTCATCAAGATTACATGTATCATTTACTGTTGAATGAGTGCGACCTAACATGAAACTTGAGTTAAATTACCTGACTTTAAAATTATTGTTTGTTAAGTAGTTTTCAATGTTCCGTTTTTCTTTGATTTTATATTTTAAACCAAAAAGTTTGACAATTCTCAATAGGTTTCAAGTAATATTGTTTTCATGATTAAAATAATATTGTGTTGTGAAAACTCTTTATTCGAAAGACATTATTTCTAAAACAATTGACTTATTTACTGAGATGTTTTTATTCTCTAGGCTGAACGTTCTGCTCTACTACCATTCTCATGTGATGTTGACTGTTCAACACCTTCACCTCCATTATCTACCAGATCTACACACAATAATAATAGTTATTTAGAGCTGTTCGCATCTCAACCGACTAATACTGCTGCTACTCTACAACGAAACTCTTCCTATTCACCAACCGACAGCAAAAGTCACACTATCAAATATACTGGTAATTCTACTCATTCAACAATTACTCCAATTAATGAACAAGAAAACGATCGACAGTCATCACAACATCGAAAACCACATCGTCAACGTCGACAACACCATCATGAGAATCTTAGTTCATTCCATCGGCATAGTGTATTACGTCAGTCGCTCGGTGGTATTAATGTATTAACTCATCATACAAATGCATTACATCAAGATTCATCTGAACCAGACAATGAAATATCGCCTAAAAGTTATGACAATAATGTTGATGATATCAGAAAATGTACACCCAAACGAGTCGATAATAAATTCATTGATTATTTATCATCATCAGCATCATCGATTCATACTAATAGCAGTAGTAAGTCTTTGAAGAATTCTAATCACCGTCATCATCGTCATAGTGATGACGTTGATGACTATCAACTAAAAACATTCCGTTTATCAAACTTACCACCATGGGATCATTTAAATTATGCATTAAAACCTTTTACATCGAATCATCATGGTAGCGAAACAAAGTAAGCGTTGTTCTGTTTTTCTGTTTGAGAACCAGGTTATTCAGTTATATGTTAGTTAAAATTAATTGCGTTAATTTTGATAAAAAGTTGTGGTGTTTGTCAGATTTGTAGGTTTACACCACAAATTGACCTTAGTTCGAAAACAATTGAAAACCATGAGGCACTTGATAGTTATTACTTCCTTTTATGTACCTTATCAACATTACCACTGCTCAAACCCAGGACCTTCAGTTATCTCGGGGAACATTTAACCTTCAAATCGCGGAGTTGTTGTTCGAGTGTTTACATTTCTGGTTTCAGTTAATTCTCCGTATTACATGACTAACATCCATTGCCATTCATAATGTAAAACTATGTGTTCATTATTGACTATGTAATAGAAACATCGGATTTTTCAATTAGTTGTGGCTTCAAATGGTATACCTACACAATTCAGTTTGCATAGATGAGTAGATTTCTTTAACATGCATATGTATGTTTCGAGGTCTAGTTCATATACCTATGCTCTATGAATGAGTCATATTAACATTTGCTTCTAATACTAATGAATTGAGACGAAATATTTACCAAGTCTACCACCTACCTTAATGCATGAGGGTGGCCAATTCAGGCGTTCATTCTAAAAAACACTAGGGATCGTCAGACGAAGAAGTGTTATCAGTCTATTACATCATTGTTGGTTCGACCTGTGTTGTTAGATGCAAACTCTTTAATTCAATCCCGTAAAATCATCTTGCAAATATTTGGTGTTGAGTGACATGGTTGAGAATCAATCATCCACCCACTTTTTTCTCCCTAGTCTCAAGCTTCAATTTTACTTCGTAATTTTTATTTCTCAAATGGATACCTTCTTTCGGAGTCGTATTCTTCAATGTTTAGTTTTTCTCAATATTATTGATATTTCTATTCTTCTACTATTCATTTTATTGATTTCATAATAACAAATCGGGCTAATACAAACTTTCTCCAGGCTCTGTGTTGACTATATTGAATGTGTTTCATTTGTATTATAATACTTCAATAGCTTATAATCCATACTATCTGAAAGAATGAATGGACTCATATTTATTTTTAATTTTGTGATTACATTGCCTTCATTTTTTCTTGCTCATTGATATGAGATATGAAGGATCGATTTTGTTAGCTTTCCATTGAAGTTTATATTAGTTCGTCTGGTTTCCCTTCCATCTTTTTAAATTTTTTGTCGTTATGATTTCTGCCAATATAGAGCGAATCACATACTTTGAGTTAGGCAGCAGAGAAGAGTATTGTTAAATACTACACACAACCAAATTAAATCTTGAAACCGAGTACACAAACATGTGTTTAATAAATAAGTGACATTAATTTTTTCGTTATTACTACCATTAATTGAAATTGTGTAGATCAATGTGTATGCCATCTAATTATTTAGTAAAACTCAAGTCATTTTCCTTCAGCTCATGGTTCATAAAAGACAACGAACTTCACACGCAAACACCTTACTTAGAGCAAGAGGGAAGATTTGAGCAGAATAACATGGATTCATTTGATTTTATTGTATTCTCGTCAGTTTTTCACAAACTGTAATATCTTAAAAACCATATTTATAAAATGGGTTTAAATAACGTACATAAATTAGCTTAGTTAGAATTTGTTATGAACTAATGTTAGTTTAAAATATGAAGGGTGTAAGTGAATTTACGAGATTATATGTATATTATGTAAGAGTTTTCTACAATACTAATAGCGGCAAATACCAGAGAGCTAGAAAGAGGTGATTACACAGCGACTAAATACTAATAGTAAGTAAGAATAAAATGAGTTAAACCAAGTTAGTTGAAATAAAATGATTATCCTAGAAAGCGTAGTGATGTAATCAATGTAAAGAAAGAGTTAGATATAATTTTACGAAGTGTTTGTGTTATCAAGGCAGAGAAGGATTTACAACTGTCTCGTTTCGAACAAATAAATCACGTTTTTGACGCCTGATAGCGATGATTTCAGCAAACTTCAGAAGATTGCAGCTCAGCCCTCTACTCATCAAATTGAAAAGTTCCAAGATACCGACCTGATGTCCCGTATCCGAAAAAATGTCTAGAAATCGGGTTATTTAATTATTTCTCCCGTTTAATCGGAGTCTGCTTTGATATGCACATGTAAATTTATAGATACAGTTGACGGTAATTTAAAAAAGATACTCGTCAACATGACAGTTGTTGAACATGTTGTTTTATACAGGATTAATAGTTTAGCTTCACGGTAGGCTCTGATTGTCCTTGCAACATTATTACCTTTAAAGTAGGAGACATCTTCGTGTGATCGCTTAGAATCACCGAGTGAACAATATCTAAGGTTAAGTATAGAATGCTATCTAAAGTGTGTAAATTGATCGATCAAATGGTGATTCTTCATCAACTGAGTTGATTAGAATAATATTTTATCAGAATCTACCCAATTAATTCTTATATCTTATTATCTGACACATGATTGGTCATTTAATAAGCCAATCAGAACTCAAAACACTGTAAATAAATATTTACAATTCCTATACATTAAATAGAATATTTCGACAGTTTTATTTGTTGTTCATTCACATGAAACATGTCAAGTACTTTTTGTTTTCTTTCTTTCATTTCATTGAAATAATTCTATCTCATACATCATTTATATTGAAATCACAAAAGAAACAAACAAACAAATAGACAACTATTTTATTCTTTTTATATCTTAGATTTAAAGGATTTCGTTTAGTTCACAAAGCTATACAATCGGAATATTGTCTATCTCGTGTACATATTAGTAGTTATAATAATTACAATAGTATTCCATTTCAATTGAATGATATTATTGTCAGTGTGAATAATCATAAATTATCGACAATGTCCGAAGCAGAGTAAGTTAATATGTTTTTGTTTATGTCTTAGAATAGATATTCATTTATCATGCTAAACATTTTGTGTATATTAATTATTATATGAGACTATAATTTATGAAAGAACTAATCTGATTTAGGATAACAGGTTTTGGATTTCGGTATGAGATTCATTCATCTATTTGGTTAAATAGTGTTTTGGTATTTTAGCTGATAATCAGTTTGTGATGAAAACCTTAAATGTAATTCCTTATCCTAACGGTCAACTGTAAATCACAATTCTAATTACTCACACTGGTTTGTAACCCTCATATAGCCCTAATAAGTAGGTGAACATTCTCAAGTTCTATTTGACACTCGTCAGTTGAATAAAGAGATGGCGTTTGTAGCGAACGCTACTGGGTTCGTGTCCTGGGGTGAACATCAACTCTAGGATGCAGGTACATTCAACCAACGAGTCCAAAATAGGACGGAACACGCGTCCTGGATTCCACTGATAGCCGCCATCTATCTTTGCATATCATGCTTGTTCTTCAAGGTAATCCGTACAGGATACACATATACCAATAAGAGACAGATCAATTGCAATCCTAAATATTAGTGTGAAGATTCACACAACTAATACAAATTGAATTATATTAGTAGGTGATAAACTTTGTTTCTCTTCTTCGATCCGATTACATAACCCGCACTTCATGCACAAAAAATTTTACAAGTTTATGAAAACAGTCAGCACATGAGATTTAGCTTAGAAAATTGTAATTAACGGATTAATAGTCGTGTATTGTCAACTTAATGTCACCAATAAAGTGTTTTGGTCAGGAGTATTCAAGTTTTAATCCAATTAGTATAAAAATATTCACATATACACATTGATCTTAATCTTGGATTAATGTGTAATGTACTAAGTGCTATTTCAAACAAACTGAAGGAAAATTATTATTCTTATCGTTATTACTATTATTCTATCATCTATTTACTTACGATTAAAATTGCAAACGTCAGACTAAGTTACTGACAGGAATTTAAAAGTTCATGTATTTGACCTTAGTTTATACACTTTCTGTCTGATATTACTAACCGTCTTATTTAAACCGAAACAATTTAATCACTGAGTTGTAACCAATGTTTTATTTAAGTGTCATGAAATTTCTAATATATAGTCACTAGTGTAAATGATTAAATTGCATGATGTTTTACAGTATATTTGATTTCCAATAATTGACATTCTCCAACAAAATGTCTCTAAAATCTTGCATGAACACTTATTATGCGATTGAAACTTTACATAACTGAATATCACAATTACCAATAGGACTATTCTTTGATGTAAGTAACCTGAAGAATAGTGTTCTACATATGTATATATTTTATGAATAATATTCAGTTTAGCATTGTAATTTAATTTCTCAATATAATTATGGTTTTATATTCACAGTAATCATGATTTATCAAGATGAATCAATTCGAATAGCTGATGTATATCTTGTAATTTGTTTCTATTTAACTAACTAGTCATTAATTATTTCTTCATTTTATGGTCTTCTAGAGCATTACAATATGTATATAATGCATTTAAAGATGCACAACATTATACTATTGATGTAGACATTCTAAGATCATCTTTATCATCAAGAAAATCTTTTAATAATGAATCATCTTCTACATTACTCAAACAATCATTGATAACTCGTCAAAAATCCGACTCTGGTTATTCAAATTCTATTGAAGTGAATATTGCCTCGAATCCACATCGACCAAGAAGACGACGAGAAGGTGAATGTAAAAATTATTCATCTTGTGAAATCACTCCGGAACGTTCACCTTACAAAAACGATAAAAAAGGTATTTCACTGTTGTATTTACTGTCTTATTTTCCTGAAGTTAAGTGCGCTGTCCAAAACGAAAACAGTTTACTGTAAAATGAATTATTACTATGAATTCGAACATTTAGGTTGCATACTACATATTCTTTTTGATAGTTAATTACTCTCAAAGAGCCAGTGTTAATTAAACAGACGGACTGAGCACAGAATAATCGATTTTCACTATCTTTGATACACTTGTAGAGAAAGTTTGATTCAATTAATAATTTGAGTCATTTATTGAGCCCAAACTTATGTACACCCAGCTTTCATTCATGCTTTAGGTGTATGTGTATTAGAGCTAGCGATATTGTCCCAGGAGGATAAACTGAAGCTGGTAAGGTGACATTTGAGATTAAAACTTGCTGGTTTAATTTCAAGTGATCTGATCATTGGGCATCACTTCCAGATTTCATATAACAAAGATATTTGCATTTATTTCCTCTTTCTCTAATTCGCAAAAGGTTGAATTTTTACATTTAACAATTCTCTGATCATTTTTTTATTGTTCTATAATCAAGATTGATCATATTGTTTGTACTCTACTATGCAGTAATATTTGTATTAAAAAGAAATGAAAAATATTAAACTAATATCAGGACAATAAAAGAAGATTACGCAACTAAATATGACAAGTTAGTAATGAGATGACAAACGTGCTGGTTGTAATAAGAATAATAATAACATGGATAAATGTGTTTAAACTTGAGTTGTAGATCAAAACTTTGGAAAATAAACATGGTTTTCAGCGGTGGCCTAGCATAGATCAACTTATGAATTCAACTGTGAAAATACTACAATCTATACAAATTCCCATACTGATAATTAAAATAAAATGCTATTCAGATTACGTAACATGTATCTGTACTGATCATTTTCACACTCTTTATTGCGTAATTACAGTAATTCCCACGGTTTTGACTTATTTTTTATGTTATTAAAACACTTATCAAGGTTGTTACTATTCCTATCATAACTAATACACTTGTCATCATGGTTTACAGTTTCCACTAGCTGCATAATCCTCCTTCATGCATGTCTTCACATAAATATTACTGCATATTAGAGTATAAAGCCTGATGAAGATCTGTTTGAGAAGAATATTTGTCCAGTGCTTTTATATTTTCAACGGTTGACTCACTTAGGTCAGTCCATGATTTCCATGAAATAAAAACATTTATATTTACATCCAATTTCAATTCTAAACCCTATGTTATGTAACTACCTGTGTTAGTTAACTGATTGTGGGATAAAATTAACAAGGTGAATATCAGAATAGTGATAGTGAAAAGAATGGGTGTAGGAAATATGATTTGAGATAGAAATTTGCTTTCGTGCAATAAAAGATGTAAAAAAAGAGTGAATACACTTGCACTATGGTGACTGATTTTGAGTCATTTCACTCGGAGTCACTAGTCATGATGGACGGCCTAACCTAAATAATGTTCATCTATCAAATTGGTCCATTAATTTTTTTGGATTGATACTACATCTTGATTTGGGGGCTCCTAGTTTTTTTTTTTCAGACCTACTCTTACACTAGTCGACATCACCCACCCATCAAGCTGGGTACACACAATATATGTTCGATGAAATTGTATTAAATTCCAATATTTATTAGATAATACATTTACTACACGGGAGCTAGTTAGAAATTACGTTAAGTACAATCTTCAATCATGATTACCTCTAAAACCCTAACCAAATAGTTTACATCTTCCTAGACAAATCAAGTTAGTTATCCCTAATAGTAACCTTTTCCCAATCTATGCTAACTGCTACAAAATATTTAGTATAGGCGATGGTTGTCCTTATGTAACTCATATTCCAACCATTTCACTTAATAAGGATTTGTAGTCTAATCAATCGATTTACAAACCTTATACTAGCAAATTTTATAGGCGATTAATTTCTTCACTTATTTTAATTTTCTTACGATTCATGGCTTTATATGTCAAATTGAAAGCATAGTTATATTTTTGTAAGCAATGATGGATAGTGGCTAGTAGTGAAATCCAGGACGAAACGCGCGTCCTGGATTCCACTGCTAGCCACTATCCATCATTGCTTATAAATAGCTTGTGAATTCAGGCAATATCGAGGCATACACACAGTATGCACATATGCCAATAACAGACTGATCAATTGCAGTCTTAAACTTCAATGGGAAGATACAAGTCAAACAATACCAAGTGAATAGTTAGATAGACTTTATTAATTGTTTAAGTAAGTGTTCATGAATTTCTTTGTTAAATCTAAACTCGTTCCCATATGTTTCTTTCCTTCTTTCTCCCCCCTCCCCCCTCTGTCTCTCCTTCCGTGTATGTGTATGTGTCAGTATTTGCGTGCATTTCTTAAATCTATAAATGCAAAACTTCAATTTCAATACTAACTAATCTTCATTACTAATGTTCTCTTAAGAAAATTATTATTAATGTCTCCTTTATGTAATTTGACGCAAATTTGAATTAAATTAATATATTACTAAATTATCTCCTTCTTTCCCTCCCTCCCTCTCTCTCTCTCTCTCTCTTGACTGACAGCTACATTTGTGTTACATTTCTATTTGTCTTTTTACGAAGTATGAAACTCTATTCATCAAAAAATAATAAAAAAACAAAACAAATTAATTCATTTCAGTCGACAGAATATTGTTGTTAGATATGTCACTATGTTAGTTGGTTGGTTGGTTGGTTAAATGGTACGTTCATGTGTGTGTGTGCGCGTTTGTGTCCCTATCTAATCGCTCATTTATGTGATACCATGGATCATCATCAAACAGCTGTTTGGTTTTTTTTGTTTTTGAAGACGAAAAATATATCAATCATTGTTCTCATCACCATTTATATTCCTGATTTATTCAAACAAGTCACTATATGATTGATGATTTACCCTTAGTTGAATATGTTGTCTATGTTGTATGCTTGTGTTGTTGATGAGACACAGTGTTCGTCTAGTAATGGATAAGGACATTTTGTCCCCTTTAAAAAAACACATTTTAAACTTGCTCCTTTAATGATTAGTTTAGGTTAGTTGTGTTTAAAATGTTCATTTCGGGATTCAAGCTTAGAAGTAATAAAAAAGGTTTTAGTCTATTCATGATCCATGTAAGTTTTCCTGTTTGTTCTCTAAAATATTCTACGTCTAACCATCATCATCATGGAGTTTTAATGAGATGCCAAATATCATAAATTTATTTAAACACACAAACATTAATACAAGGGGGCACCAAATATATATGCACCACACAAATCATTCAAATACTGCCCGGACACCCAAACCGAAGCAGGTGGTTTACTTAGAGGATCACACCCTTAACCATTGACTTATAGGTCCAATTCACAAGGGAGTGGAACAACGTTAGAGAATTCAGCTCCATGGTAGCCGGTGACCAACAGTAGGTTGGTACGTCTTTTGTCCGTTTAGGATCCTTCAGCTCCTGTACTGTACTGGCTTGGAGTTTTCCAACTACTCTAGGTGGATGCTCCGTACCTATCAACCCGATTTAAACACCGAACATTCGTTTTTCGTCCTCTCAATATGGTAAACAACACCTTCGTGGTGAGAAAGGCAGTGAGTAGGACTTCCCTGACTCTAACTGTATACACGTAGCCATATGAGAGTATTTCGAGAGGGTGACCAGATTTTCTCCACTCTAGACTGTACCAGGGAATTTGTTTAATTTATAGAACTGTTGCAATGACATTCATTTAAAAATTTTAATTTGTGAGCATATATCATGAACTTACTTTAGTTAATAGACCAATAACCACTGGGAAGATGTTCTATCGTGGTATTGGACTCCTCGGCATTCACTGTGTAGCCGCAACCTAGTTAGAGATCGGGACAGGGACATTAAGGTCTCATGGCGAACACTTTAATTTTGAACAGACGAGTTATGACCTAATAGCGTGTATTACTCTTACTTCAGACAAATCACGATGCCAAGTATCGTTTTAGTTGGGTACTCCCATACCACGAAAAACAGATGTCTTGTATTCTTAGTCTTTAGTGGTTGTCTAAATAGGGTTATCTCGTGATGTGAGCCCTAAAATTCAACTATCTCCACTGACCTCTTTGCACCATTGATTTAACTTAGTTCTATAGACTTCGAACTGTATAATATTGCTTTCATTTACAAGTATACACTTACTTTCATGTTGATTCGTTACTTATTTTTTCTCCTTTCTTCTTTCTGTCTTATAAATGTAGAACAAAAAGATCGTACTCTATTGATCCGTAATACCAATAGAACCAATTTAAGTCGTTTAAGCCTTATGGATTATCCGGATTCACCGAATATATGCCTTAAATCACGTCAAATGTCGGCTGTTGACAGTGTTTCCCGTAATTCCAGTGACAACAATCATGGTGTCGTTGACTATGATGATAGAATTAATACAGCAACATTTGCCTCATCATTGTGCAGTAGTAATCTAGCTGACAGTGGATTTGTGACAATACGTCGACCAAAACAACCTTCACGTTTAACAATAATCAATAGTGATAGTGGTGATGTTGCAAACAATCGATTTTCTTTAACTAGTGCTGGGCTTCTCTCTTCTCTTGATAACAGTAATAATAAAGCAAGAAATTCACCGAAACAATTATCACCAAAGGTCGACACCATTGATAATCGACATCTTGATAATAATCGTTCAAATTCTCGCACACTTACACCTCACACCACAGAAGTTACATCACCATGTATTCCAAGGAGATCATTAAATATGGTAGGTTGCTTTTTATTGATGTCATTTGTTTTTATGTTATTGGTTATGTATCAATTTATTAAAATTCCTGTGTTTGTGTAAAGTACCAGGAGTTTTAATAATAACTCACTTATGTATTCGTTTATCCAACCTGTAACCACAAAACATAGTGACTATTAGTAGTAGTAGTATGATGTATGCTACCTTTGGTTTCATACATTAGTAGTAACATCAGTCGGAGGTGAAATGTCTGCGAAAAGAAGGTTGGTAAGATTGAAATGAAGAGAAGAGAGAAGGGAAATGAAAACAATCGAGGTAACAACAGAAATAAAGAAACAATAAAGCTTGTAAGGGATAACTCAAAGATGTGCGAATGATGTGTTTGATGTATGATTTTCACATTTTACTAAACTACTACATGATTGTACACCAAATAATAAATTGGTCTTCCCCAGCTAACTGCTTGTTCGCTACAGTGGTAGCACTACTAACCGTTTTCTCAAACCTATGTCAGTAGAGTAGATTTATAGCCTGAAACTTATTGGTTGATAGTCGAATGCATTAACCATACGTTTACATTATATGCGTACATATAAACTGCTGATAAACGAACCGAAAGTTTTCGACAGCATACATGATATTGATGTTTTAATACCCGTATTTTACCTTAATCGTTGTTGTTATCTAACTCAAATTTATAAATGGGAAAAATTGTTTCTAAAATTAAATTGATTGTTAAAATATTTTTTCTGAGGAAACTTTGGTTTTTATGAGTGGAATTATAGATTTATTTTTATTTCAGAATAACATGTTTCATAATTGACAAGTAAATACACAATTATAGGTGTCTTAGAAGTATTGCTAATATCTGCTTGGATCACCGTGTAAGTAAAAGTGAGGTCAGATGCAGGGTATTAGGGAATGATGTTAAATCAGTTGATGAGGTTGTAAATTCTCATCGACTGAGATAGTTGGGCTATGTGTCACGTATGCCTGAACACCGATTACCACAACACACAATGCCGACTAGTATTGGAGATGGTGGGAAGAAAGTTAGAGTCGGCCAAACCAAAACGTAGCTTCAGTCCTTAAAGTCACTAACTTGTGCTCTAAACCATGTTGGTAGATGCAGACTACTTGATTGGGATCCGTGCAACTATCGTAATCGATGGTTGGAGACTTTGTGTGACATGGCTCAGAATCAACCACAATGGCATAGGTGTATACACTCGTTGTCTTCCCTTAAACATGAGATTAAAATAACTTTATACCTTTCTTTCTAAGAACTAATTCTTTCTCCCTGTATTATATGCTTATGTGCAATCTGACTGACTACATATGTATATGTACAAATAATCTGTATATGTGTGACATCATGTGCATATTCTCACTTACAGAATTAATGCACAGCAACTTTGCATTTAGTTTTTACACGAGTAAATGCACACCCACATTGTATCTTTCAAATAATCACTTTACTTATTATCAAAATCATGGTGATATAAAGATATTGTACATGTATTTACATAATGTGCATGTGTGTTTGAGTAGGAGGAGATTACATCAGTTTCAAATTAATTGTACACTTGGTTTGTCTTTGAATACATCAACTATAGTTGATTCTTTATTTAAATTAATACTTAATTTTGGAATGAGCTGTTATAGTTCAGTTCAACTGAATTCTTGTAAAGCACATGATTCGGTCTATTTGTATGTAATGATAGATAATTCATTCAATTCAATTAGATAATTACAGATTTCTGTAAACAATAGTTTGGTATGATTTCTTAGCCTTTTGTCTGATTGTTTAAAATGAATGATACAGAATTGATTTTTATATGTAATATGACTGATTGATTAACAATTGGTTCTTGAATTATAACATCTGGTGGTGATGATAAGTTCAAGTTTAGCTCGATCTGCTTCCCCATTTGAATCACACGTACACATATACACATTTATGCATACAAAAGTGTAATAGATAGAGTCTTAAATTAATATTGTAGAGTTAGCTTATTGAATACTACCTCAATATGAACTACTGATGATAGCTGACAGTAGCATGTATAATTTTGAAATTCATTGTCAGAACTAACTGAAGTATTAGACGAACTAGAGTTACGTTATTATTATCACTACTGAACTATTCCTCATGCCACTAAACATTCTCTACTTACAATAGATCAAGATATATTGTTGTAACATTTGTAACTCACATACCCTCAATTTGTACAATGTCATTTGTTCGTGAAACATAAAGCTGAGAATATGTTGCTTGATTATTCAAAAGATTAATTAAATCTCAACAAATATTAACATTTTAATCACTTTTCTTCTCATTTTACTTTGTTCCGTATTTGTTTGAATATCATCCACTTGTTGTGAACTTAATGTGTGAAACAAGAATTAATTATATCCTGACCACCTTTCCAACTTATCACTTCACTTTCTCAAGATAGTGGAGGGAATTTGTAATTCAGTTGGATGATTTTGGTAGAGTTTTGTTCTTTCAGCTGGATTCAATCTATCAACTAATTAGAAAAATCTTGGACAAATATAGGACCATGAATCAAATCAATGGAAGATACAATAGAAATAAAGAAGTAAACAATGACAAGTTAAAAGTCAACCAATCAAGATCGAGGTCTACAAGACAAGCTGTGAGTTATATGTGAAGAAATTCAAACAACTCACTTTTACTTGAAGTTTGTGCTAATGATGTCGTTCTGAGGAACGATGAAAGTTCCAGGACTATACTATTTAGCATAAAGAACAAAACTCCACCAAAACTTCACTTTCACATCTATATCTAAGTTTATTATTTCTTTTATTATTAATCATAAATTGATTGACAATGCTATAAATCGTGTTGATGAATCTGTTTAGACGAAGTTCACTATGTTGATTGATTGATATTTGATTATTGGGTATTTATAGACATAATAATTAGTTATGTAGGTTGAATTTAATGTGAAAATTTTGTGTTTTTTGTTTTATTTATTGGGTCAATTGAATAGTTAATTTTGTTAACAATTATACTTCATATATCTATAATAATTATTTATAACTATTTGTTGAATGGTACTCTGGTTAGTTTGACACTGAGAATTGTAATTACACGATTTTATTTTCAATATAGACGTTAACATCGTTACATTTATGTCCGTATCTGGATAGTTGGAGATATTCACCCCTCGTCTCACTCACTCACTCACTCACTCACTCACTCACTCACTCACTCACTCACTCACTCACTCACTCACTCACTCACTCACTCACTCACTCACTCACTCACTCACTCACTCACTCACTCACTCACTCACTCACTCACTCACTCAACCTATGATTAGTAAATGTTATCTTCATAAAACTCGTTAATACTTCCTACTATATTCACTTATACATCGAATCTTTGTTCTTTTTCAATATAATCATAAACATCATTCACTCCCTCATTTCATTAAATATAAATCTAACCTTTATACAAAGTGATCAAAATATATATTTGAGATAAAAATAAATACACATTATGTTTCTTACTCTCTACTATAATTTTAAACAGCAATTACTTCTTATCTTTTCATAAATAAATTTAATTATAGATATGTATTGTATTAAATAGTTTGAATTAATCCTCTCCTTGATATTCAAGACTAAATTTTGAATAGTCTCTATGACTCCCAGTCTGAACTACTATTTATCTATTTTAAAGTGATATCGTTTCTTGTTTGAATCTGTTCTATAATTGATTGATGAAGTTCTAAGGTTTATTTAACTAATTGTTGATAGTAATCTGTTTATTAATCTCTGTTCGTTTAATTATGATGGCAACTTGAAATCACTTTACAACATATTAATACCTAAACATATTTTATGAGAAGTTTCTGTTTGTGAAGATACAAACCATGATTTGAAATCAGTTCCTGAAGTCATTGACTGTGTCGACTGAGCCGTGTTTGTTGGATGAAGGTTGGGATCTACGCGATTATCCTGACTAAGGCTCGAAAATGTCGATCCATGTGCTGCTGATATATTCATCCTTTGTCCTTCTTTAAATCTCAAGTCTTAAGTTTATCCTATACCATTTGTAACGCGAACTGATTATTTCTTCTCGAATAATATTGTTTATACTTAATGTTTTTTACTACCACTGATACTATTACCAGTGGTCGTATTATCAGTAGTATCCACATTTTAAGGATAAACAATCCAAATAAGGATGATCTTGGAAGTCACTTTTCATTCAGGGAACAGAAAGTGTCTCCATAAATGAAAAGCATTTCGCAATAATAGTAATAAATCTTATTACAACTCAGTGATTGTAGAATGTTTATTAAATTTTCAATGCCTAACGTCTTTTTTTCACTCTTAATTTTTTAAAAATATCACTACATAATCTCACATATATGAGTGTAAATATATACACTCTCAAGATTTCCCTGGTACGGTCGAGAGTGAGAGAGTCCACTCCCGTTATCTCTCGATATACCTTCACATGGTCACGCATATACAGCTACTGTCAGGGAAGTCTTACTCACTGCCTTCTCGACGTAGGGGTGTTGTTTACGAAATTGAGAGGACGAAAAGCGAATGTCCGACTCTTTAACCTCGGGTTGATGTGTACAAAGGACTCATCTAGAGGAGCTGGAAAACCGTGATTCCAAACCAATGATGCACATGGGCTTCAAGATCCTGAAGGAAAAAATAGAGTATGAACCTATTGTTGGTCACTGGCTACCATGAAACTGCATCTCACGTTGGTCTACTGCCTTTATATTAAAGGCTGAGGGAGGGACCTAGGAAAACCACCTATTGGTTTTCGGCCGCCTGATCAGTATACCAGTCCCTACGTAAATCGAATGACGAAGTGTAGCGCATTTATATTCGCTGCCTCATTGTACCAATGTTTATGTGTTGAAATAAATAAATAAAATAACATAGTTTAGTGAAAAATTCATTATTGACTATAAAATCTTCATTCATAAAATTTCTGAAGAATTAACAAGATACTTGGAAATGTT